AAAAAAAAAAAAAAAAAAAAAAACTATGATTATTAGTATGGAACAATCTGTCATTATATGTGGAATTTGTGGAGGGTGCAATTTGAGAGTTACCACATGCTACGAACTTTTTTTTTTTGCAAAGTGTATATCAATAATCTAATAAAAAATTAGAGTTAATTTTGAATATGCAGAAACTTGGAACAAAGAAATATGCATTTCCCATTACAACAAAACAGCTGATAAGTCTGGAATACTTGCCAAAACTTGCCTGGATAGCCCAGGGAAAATGTATTGATGATCATTCCAGGTTAAAAGAGCTTAGGGTAAGCCATTATTGTATCATAATTAAAAAGTAAATGCACAAGATATTTTGGAAAAACAGTGGAATATTTGGATGTGGGCTGGACATTAAGTGATAGGAAAGAACTTTAACTCCCATAGATCTAGTAATGGAACTGTAACTATCTGGGAGAATATACTGATTTGGAGGAGATATTTTCTTACTCAGGTCTCTACTGGAGGATATTCATATCTAGAATTTACTTTGTATAGGTTCAGTCATCTGCTAAAAACATATCTGTAAGTATACCAGCATATATTTACCTACATTTGGCAGGATGGGAAACTGTGAACAATTTTTGATATAGGTGGGAAAAAATGGATGTTGTACATAATTCTTTGATTGAATCTAAAGATTGAAACATGGTCATTATAAGAAATAGGAGAACACCAATATTAAAATCATATTGTTTTTAACATTTATATTTGAAAGTGTGGTGCTCTGCCATTATGTAACAAATTCATGCATTTTAAGCCATATTTCCCTATCATGAACCTTTATTCCTTAACTGAATGTTGCTAAAAAAACAAGTTAGAGCACAGACTAGGCACAGAATAGATGGGATTAAACAATAGATTTGATGACAAAGCAACGAGGAAAAGCTAAGATGCGACCAGGCAAAAGGGCCACTCTGGTAAAAGTTCCTCAGTGTTGACTTCACCTATTGTTAGTAAACAGCTGACTTCCTTCCTCAGCCTGTGGGACTTTCATATTATCCAAGTAATTTTCTCTGCTAGGTCTCTGATTAAGACCTCTGAAAGCAGAGATTCCAGAATGAATGTATCAACCATGAGAACCACACTCAAACGCCTACCTCATTTCTTATTTTACTCTGCCCTTTATCCCCAGAACACTTTAATGTATTCTATCTCCAGTTGTACTTCATAGCTTATGCGGGTGTGCACTTTCTTTCCTAGGTCTAGTTAAGGACTATAACCCACCTACTTTTATCACCATTATATCAACAGATTCTTACACACAGCTCAGCCTTATGGCCTCTCAACCCTTCTCATTAAGACTTTAAAGCAAAGGTACGATTAAGATTCCTTTACATTCTCTGCTCTACAAAATTAATATTATAGGAGAGGAGGACATGTGGACCCTTGGCAGTAGTACATAAAAAAGAGAATGAATTGCAGAAGAAATGAGGCTGAAGGTTTTCACCTGGTTGCAGACAGGCTTGTACTTGAGGCCTGGCTTGTTCAGGATCATCTCCAGCTGCCTGCGGTTGAAGTTGGACACCCCGATGGACTTGGCCAATCCTGCATCCTTACACTTCTCCATGGCCTGGAGAGGAGAAGATTGTGAAGAATAATTTGTGCTGTTGGCTACATATTGATTATATGCAAGGTAGTATTGTTGCAAGAAATACTGCCAGGAAATGAAGACGTACATGACTGCAAATGATGCTAAACTAGTTAAAAATTAGTGGCAGCATGAAAAAAATTCTGTGTTCTTAAGAAATCAGAGAGACTATTTTACATGGAGGGAAAGAAATGACGGTCACTGTTTTTCCCGTGTCATCCCTAGCTGTCAGTGCCCTACATTCTAATAATTCATTCCTGTCCATCACAGCAGCCAAACAATCCTTGAAAATGTCATGAGTTTTTTGATCTACTGGTGCATATCTCATTCTCATAAGTGCAGATGTGATTTGACTGTAGGTCTCTTTCTTTCTATCTCTTTTTTTCTTTTGTGGTCTCTATTCCAAGTACTCACCTCCCAGGTGGCACAGAGATCCACTGCGTCAGGTATTACTTTTCCATGTTCATCTGTGGGAAATGAGTTTTCCCCTGGCTGGAACAGAAGTAGTCATTAAAACCATCTCATTAAATTCATATCCCCACTGATATCTATGCTCTCTAGTAAACCTAGGCCTGGGATATTAAGCTTCTATAAAATAGGTGGAGCAATATTTCACAGATTTATATTTTTAGAATGTTTTGCTTGTGATAACCTTAGGAATGTTTTAGGTGATACATTTCATCTGTGCTTATACGTCTCTAAATATGTTAATTTATAACCTGTTCTCAGGTTCTTAATGTCTCAGTTGACTTACTGCTTTTTATACTTCTGTATTCCCTTGGAAAAATGTTTCTTTTTATAGGAACAAGTCAGTAGTGACATGGGATCTCGAGCAATAATGGATTCTGGTTTAACCCAGGCTAAGGAAACAATCTTTCTCTTCCAGAGCACGTGAACAGTTAAAGGTCAGATATGTAAGCCACAGACAGTCCATCAAGGTCATGTTTTTTCTTTTCTTTGCTGTTTTTGCTCCCCTCCCCTCCTCTCCCCTCTCCTCCCTTCCCCTTCCTTTTGTTTTGTCCTTTCCATTTTTCTTTTCATTTCTTTTTTTTTCTTCAGTTACAAGACAAGTATAAGTGAAGCAAAAGGGAAACACAGACATAGGAAAGTAGGTAGGACATTAGAATGTGAATAACTATTCAGAATAATTTTGCTCCAAAGTCAAAGAAAGTAATTTCTGCCAGCAAACATATAATAGCCTACAGGCCTGGATTCTGGAAATGCACAGAAACTCATGCTAGGGGATACATTTGAGTCCTTTCTGTGAGAGCAAGCAAGATAACTATAAATCCCAGGATTCCACCAGAAAGCACTGCCCATTCATTCTTTAAGGACAAGTTCTTTTCAACATGGTTTGTGATTACTGAGGCCTCTTTCTTTTAAGACACCCCATGAGTCAATATGGATTTGACTCATCTCTTCAGATGAAATAACTTGTCACCTAAAGTTTTAGTGATCTGCCTTTGTGTGTGCTTTTTCCCCCTATTTCCTAAGCCAGTGTGCTAAAGGTCATAATAGTTGTGTCTTTATTTGTAAGATAGGTAATGAAGCTTGGGCTGTATATCTGCTTTCTTTATAAAACATGTTTTAATTAATTCCTTCAGAAAATAGGAAACAAAAGATAATCATGGAAGAGAAATTAAGTAATTTTTAATTCTTCTATCTATGAAAAATACTGAGATTGGTACAATTTCTTTTATTGCTTAGAACTCATTATAATTTAGAACTTGGTTTTTTATTAGACATAAATATTGTAAAAGTACTAAGATACATTTAAGGGTGCTTTCCATTTTCTAGGCACTGTGTATATTAATTCATTTAATACTCTTTTTTACTCTAGAATGTCTATGAGATGAGCATTTGGTTTTTTTAAAAAGCAAAATGAAGTCACAGAGTTTATAAAACCTATGCAATGTAACCCAGCTATCAACAGACAAAAAGGAGCCCAAGACCACTCCACACGGGCTGCTAGCTCAGCATTCTTCATTGCTCTGTCATACCTCATTTATAGAGTTATCCTTCTCTCAGCTAGTGTTGCAGTGTTTGACTAGGTTATCAGTGATAACTGAAGGCAAACAGAAAAATCATTGAGTCCACAGGTTGCATTTAAGACAGAGGTCAGTAAAGGTTCTTAAGAAAATATTGAGAGTATATAAAAATTAGTGATCACGAACCTTTGACAACACAAGGCCTTGTTTGGTACCAGTGGAAAAGATGTGGAAAAACTAAGGAAACTTCCAGAAATACAGAGATAAGAAAATGATAATCAGAAACATTTCTGAAGACTACTTCAAACCTATCAGGCTAGCCCTGGATATACTCCTCAGTTACATTACCCAGTAAATATTTTTATGTAAACTAGCTTGAGTAGTTTCCATAACACATGAAATTAAAGTAATATAAATCTATTATAATCAAGATCAACCATCCATGCACTTGATGGTTATGATAATAGCTGATGTTAAATATTTTTAATGAGGCAATTGCCTACCTTCATGGATACTGGGTAATGAATAAGGTAGAGGTCCACATAGTCTAACTGAAGTTTCTTCAGTGACCTTTCCAAGCAAGATTGGACCAGCTCTGGTCGATGGAAGGTAGACCAAAGCTGAAAAGGTTAAAGAATGGAAGTTGTTATAGATTGACATATTAACTAAATGTATTTGCATAATATTAGAAACTCATGACCATAGGGAAATAAAAACCTCTTCTATCCTGAATTTCCCTTGATTCCATCCATTCATGTAAATGCTATAATATGCTTGGTTTTGATTAGCAAACCTGATGAAAAATGGAAGGAAATTATTCCATATGAAAATTTTATCAAGTGGTAATTATGACCATTCTGTGAGTTAAGTTTCATGAGATCTTATAAAGCAATTTAATAGTCTAATATTCTCATCTATGCCACTTAATGGGAAAGATTAGCGCCTTTTTTACATAACTGAAAGAAATATATTTTTAATAAACTTATACCATTCTTTATCATTAAGGCAAAAATTGATATTTAGACGTTTAAGAATTGTTAGATTCTCCCCCAGGGAATTCACAATCTGATAATAGTTCTATCTGATTCCACACTCCATAGTAAATCACATTGCTTTGACTTAAGGTTCTGAAAAGTAAAACACTTTACATTGGAGTTATTAAAAAGCCACAATTGGAGAGCCATCATCTATCTCTTTTGTTTATACTGAATGTTGGACACTAACTTGTGTAAATAAAGGTGTACCAATGCGCATAATTCATTATTAACTACTGATACAATGATAGAAAAGTCACTTCAATATATCACTTTTCATTAATTTGCACACCTGCACATTGTACGCACAATACCTTTGAAGTATAGAATATGTCTTCTCTCTTCACAGTACCATCTGCAATCTTGCTTCGAATGGCCAATCCTACCTCCTCCTCATTTTGGTAGATATAAGCAGAATCAATATGGCGGAACCCAGCATCTATAGCTAATTTGGTGGCATCCGTAGCCATACTCTTTGGAACCTAGAGGGGCATCCAAAGGTAGTTTTTAGAGTTCTGTGTGATTAATAGTTCTAGAATCATTAGAAAACTCTCAAAAATACCTTTTACTTATGTCTTAGGCTAGTTCTATATTTGTGATGATGAACCTATGTTAATTTGGCTTGGTATTTCCTGTTTCATAATAATTATAATAATTATAGTGTAATAACTATAATAATTATAGTGTACACCAGGGACCCCTTCAGTCCCAGACAATCACTGGCAGAACAGATGTCCAGGAACACTTCCAGTTTCTATGCTTTGCTGGAAGTAATTACAGGACTTAGCATATAGTTGTAGCAATGATTAATATTCATACAGTAATGTTGTAACACTGGATAAAGTACAGCGCTGAAGTATAGGTGAAATGTGGTCCAAATTTATTTTAGTGTTTCCTAGTAAAGTCAAACAGGATACACTAAATTTCTCTAGCACTGAACATAGAGCACACATGGGAAAGTTGCCTACAGGCAAAGAAGTTTGGAGATATAGTTTTTATTCCTTTCACTCAGTGCTGGTTACATAGATCCCTCTGCTAGCAAACCCCAATATTCTATATAAGATATTATGTTAAGTGTTTGTTACACCAAGGCTAATTTTTTAGGGAATGTATAGGTAAAGTAAAATTTAGAATTATTCCTTCCTTTATCAAATTTGGGTAATGACTTGAAGACATATTTCTTTTCCTAATAAAATTACAGTGAATGTGTCCTACAGCCCTATACTGCTGACCACTATGATTTTCTTGGGTATTAGGCCACTCGGATGTACTGAAGCTGAAGCTTTAGTGTTGTCTGTGACCCTTCCCTATTCTCTACACCACATTTCTCTGTGAAGTAACCAAGTCCCATTGCAAGTCTTCACAATTGCTCTTTGAATATTTTCTTATGTCTTAAGGGAGAGAAAAGTAGGAATTCAAAGTTCAGGGAACCAATCATTTGTCATACAATTCAATAGTCTGAGAATAATAATGGAAGAAAAACTTCCTCCAGTCAAAAAACTGTCAGCTTTTCTGAATTCATTTCAAAGGAACATCTGTACCACTGGTCTTTAATTCCAATGCACATTAATTAGGACTAGGACATTAATTTTCTTAGGTTCCCATTTGCTCCTAATAGCACTTTTTTTTTTTCCAGTAAATTTCTCAGAATTGCAAATGGTGCATGGAAAATTCTACTTAGGTCATATACTGTGATATACACAAGACTACCCCACAGGAGAACAGCAGTACTAATTCTTTCCTACATCTCATGTCCACTTCTGTTTATTACAAAGTTTTCAAGATATGCACTCTTAAAAGGATTATATAAATAAACTTAAAAACCACTATCAATTTCTTAAGCAATGACATGAAGAACATCCATTTTAGAATTTTGGGGGTCTATATTTATTTAACAAAAGAGTAATGACGAATGATAGTAAATGTGAAACTTTAGAAACCAACATAAGTGTTTTTAAAAGGCCTAGCTGGAAAACTGAAGTAGAAGGAAAAACTAGTGCCCAAGGATAACTAGTAGGTGACAATATCATCAGATCCTCATGCAGAACAAAGTCTAACCATCTTTCTCTTGTACACAGAAGAGCTCTAGCCTGCAGAAACTGAGAATCCTATGAGTTTCCCATAGTCACACAGAAACAAGGTGATCTGACAACCCAGCTCAGTTCCGACTCATCCTAGGTCTAGTTTGCGTCCCCAGTGCCAATCCCTCTGGAGTTACCTCTTCTGGAGCATAGGTGCCAAATCCCAACACAGGCATGAAGTGGCCATCATTTAGTTCCACGCACTGACATTTGGAATTCATTGCCTCTCTCTCCTCTGCTCAAGCAGATTCTGTTTCTTCTTCTGTCTTCACAGGGCAGTGAATAACAGGAAGTCATAGCCCCACTCCCGTGACTTATCTAAAGTATGTGGAAGGCGTGGCTAATTAAAACATTGTTTCGCCTGTGAAAGGAGAACTGGGACTACTTCGCTTAATTTGAAGGAGAATTGTTAGGTAACTCACTACATAGTGAAACAGAAGCTATTAGCTTTTGGTAAATTTTCTCTTTAGGATAATTTATGTAGTATGTTACATTATTAAAGGGATTAGTTGAACAATTATTGGCCGTTTTGCTTAGGAAACCAGAGATACTGGTTTTCTTGTTTTTAAATTTGTTTTTATCATCGTGAAGCCCTTTTGTGAGCATATATTATTTGAAACAATGAACTAACTTACAACACACGGTCAGACACACGCACACACACACACACACACACACACACTCCAAATTCAAAAATGACTAGAGTATTTTTCAAATTTAGACCTTAACAATGAATCATAACAAAATTGAAAGTTGGCCTTTATAAAAATGTAAAATCTTGAAAGTTTTTCTAAAAGAAAAAATACCATCTGTATCTTTTTTTGTTTATAATAAAACTATTTAGTACCATACTTAGGAGGCTATAAGCTGAACATGTATAGTAAAGAAGGTAGAATAGCGTGCCACTGAATGCAGGATATGTAGTTACTGTAATAAGTTTTGTAAGTCATTTTTCAATGCACCACTGAAAACAACGTCATTATTTCTTTCACCTCTTTATACGTCTCTATGTATATACATATGTATGTATATTTGAGAAAAAAATAAGCAAAAATGCAGAAAAATACTTCAACAGTATTTGTATAAAATAAAAATTAGGACAATTTTTCATTTCTATAAATTGTATAATAGGAAAAACTTGATCCATTAATACACTGGCATGTGATGAGATAATCAAAATGGAACATAAAAAATTTCACTGGTTAAATATTTTAAATTGGAAAATTTTTTTAATATGTTAAGTAAAAAAGGAGAAGATATAACTAAAATCAGTTAATATCATTTATCTTATAAGATACTTTCTAAAAACTGCAAACTGTAAATGTTGTTTCTTTCTAAAAGAGAAGACAATAAGTGATTTTCCAATCCCTTGTTTTTGTTTTTCAGTCTTCTAGAATTAATGTTATCACTTTTGTGATCTAAGAAACTGTTTCCTTATAAACAGGGAAGCACCGCCCCTTACAATTGGAATGGGATGGAATTTCCTGCCTGATAACAACACTGATACTAATAACTCTAAATCAAATTCCCTCTGCTTAGTGCTGCAAATCTCATTTAAAGTCCTCCAGTCATGTTTGTTATTTTTTCACCCGTTGTCAAATAATTAAGTGTACCAATTAATGCCTCTGCATTTAATTTTTCCTTTTCTTTAACAGGTACAACTCCAGGCAAGGGAAAAAATAGATAATAACTTTACAAGAGGCAATTTTGCAACATGAGCTAATCTAGAATAAATGATGTAAAACCAAATAGCATAGTGATTACTGCTGTTACAAACCCAGATAAATCTTACCCTTTCATAACCCTGAATCAAACTGCCAACTCCCTGAAAATGGCTGAGTCACTCCCCATGCAAATACTCACCAGTGAATTCTGTGACTGACAGCTGAGCAATATTAGACAGCTAAGCAATATTAGAAAGTGAATGATGCAGGAGAGGCAGTGATCTCAGAAGGGCTTCCATTTTCTCCTCCACTCATCCACAGACTTCATTTGGAACCCTATTTCTTCTTCAAACTGGACTCCCTTCTTACCTCAACAGTGAGGAAGTGGGTTCTACTTAAAATTCTATGGTTTTTTAATTTCATCTAATGTATGAATTAAAACTTTGTAAGTGTTCCCTCGAATATCTTTCCCCCCAAATTTCCTTCTAGCATAACAGTGCCTCTTCCTTCCTCTCGACCATATCAATGTTTCCTACCCTCACTTCCATTTCTCAAAACAGTGCTCCTTCTGCATTTGAGCTAAACAGTGTGAAGCTCCTGAATATTGTGCTCCGTTCCTGCCATCTAAGGTGTGCCCTGCTGTTGTTGTTATTGTTTGCACAGAAAGCTCAGCCCAGAAAATTTACTAATGAATACATAATACCTCCTTGGAATAAATACTACTGCCAAAGAACAATTGTCTTTTTGTGGTGGTACTGGGAGTTACACATGTAAGGCAAGAACTTTACCATGGAACCACATCTCCAGCCTAAAGTAAAATTTTTGAAGAAGCACATCAGCATGGCTACTTTCTCTGTGCTCTCTTCTGATCTCTCATCTCCCACGTAGTGTAGAGATCTATCCTATCAATATTAATTTTCCAAGTTTTTGTAGTACAAATTTAACAATTTTAGCAGTGTCACCAAGTAACGTCTACATTCAGACATTTTCCAAGTACATTAAAAAAATGCTCCTTTCCAAGCCCACCTGGAGATTCAGTGTGAAAAAAGAGAGAGGGAGGAAGATTGAATGGGATCTTTACGAGGTGGGGCTCAGCAAAAATCCTTAGGATTTTAGTGGTGAATCCTAACAAGTGGTTAACATTTTTGTCCTAGAGCCAGTTGGCACATAGTGTCTATTTTGCTTATAATCTGGCAATGTGCTCTCACCACACCAAGGCCATCAAGTACAAAGTCCTTCTCAGAGCTGAGATAAGGCCACCAGCACGACCTTTAGAGTACAAGAAGGGAAATTCTTATATAAAGTTCATGGGAGTGTAAATTAGTATAGCCACTGTGGAAAACAGAATGGAAACTTCCACCACTTCCTTATCGTGCAGGTTTTCTTGGTTACATTTCTTGTTTTGCTAGGACAAAAAACCCAATGCCCAAAATTAAAGCAGGGAAGGTTTATTTAGCTAACAGTTTGTTCAGATTTCAGGCCATAATCAGCTGGCTCCAAGACACAGTGGCACGTGGCAGAGGAGCAACATTTCATGGTGGTAGAAAAGAGCAAAAGCAATAAGAGCAAAAAGGGGAGGACAGGATGAGTCTTTCTGCCCCTTATATTGTATGTAGGCTATCCACTCTAGGGTGGGTGTAGCACTCACACCCATAATACCATCGCTAGACAATGAATCAATCACAAACTCTAGATTCAGTCACCCCCAGGACTGCATGGGTCTTTGGGGAGAACATCTAGACATAAACTGTAATATTCCACCCCTGGTGTTTTTCAAGATTAGTCTGGACGTCAGAGAAACAAACAAACTCTCATATCTCACTGACCATGAACCTTGAGCAGTCCCAAAGTCAAATTTTCTACTATTGAATAAGATGAGAGAAAAAAGAAGCAAATCTGTTACAATGTGCAGATGAAGGCTGGGGGTGGTGAGGAAACATTTCTGAGATGTCTTAACATTTTCTCTTATATGAGAGTCCTCAAAGTATAGATAGAGTGGACAATAAAAGACAGAATTGGAACTAGGGAGATCTTTTTCAAATGGGAAGGACAGTGTGAGCTAGAGCGAGGTATGAGGGAGGGAAAGGAAGGGGATTTTAAAAAAGAATTGAAGAAAAAATAGAAATACAGCTTTTGCATACAGGAAGGGAAATAGGAGTTTGAAGAAGCAGGGAGGGATAGGAGGGAAGGGAATGATAAAAGAATTAAGATGTGTTGTGTATGGACAAACTCTGCACAATAAACACAATGCTTGTATGCTGCAAACCTGTCCTAATAAAAGTGTGCTATATTTATGTGTCTCAGAATTCATTTGCCATAGAAAGCTGGTATATAAAAAAAAGTAGAGAAAAGAAAGTGATCTCAATAAAATGTTAAAATACGAACAATCACTTGGTTCCAAAATGCAGACATTTCACAGATCATGGGTCATATTTGTACAGATTAGAAAAAAAAAGAAACAAGGTCCATCATTTTTTCTATTAAACCCAAGGAGAATTACAGTATGTATAGCAACAGCGACATCCATTAGAGTAGGTAACCTTTAGAGTTATTGCTATGCATCAGGCAGGACTCTCTCCGACTCTACTGCTTTTAGGGATATAACATGGAGAATTTTCTCCACTACTAGTAGGACTACATCTTGATTTCCACAGTATGTGGTAGGAAAGCTGAAATATGTTCAGTGCTTTACACAGTTCCTGTTTGTGTGCCTCTTTTCTCACAACAAATTGTCAGGATCAACATGTAAAGGTCTTTATATTTCTTATTGCTAGTGAACTGAGGTGGACACAAATGCACAAGACTGTAAGGTTTCTCCCATATATGTTCTTAGCATAGACCAGCTCAGAAAACATAGAATTGTGATTGTAGGAGACTGAATAAAGGGGAAAAATGACATTAGCTTTCATTGTATAGACAAGATTTACTTTGTGATGAGTGAAATCTATGGTAAAGATAGTGCTCTATGTTAGAAGATAGTACTTATCAAATAATAAGAACATAGCTAATGCCACTGAGTTGGACACTTTAAACAGTTAAATCATGAATTCTACTTATTACTTGTTATATCAGAATGAAAACAAAAGTTAAATGACAATAGAGCCAAACTCAACTAAATATTTCACATTCATATGCTCCCTCATAGACTCCAGATGTGTGAAGATGCAGCTGTAACTCTATCCAGAAGGGTTTCTAATTTTTATTACTTGTATTGAAATTGATGCTGCAGAAGCTAGAGCTCAAGTACAAGCCCTCTGACAACCAGGTGAGCCCTGAGGTCACTAAGACCTTCCTATATTTTCTGATCTTTACACTATTCAACTTTGAGTAATAGTTCCCAAGTTCCCATACTGATGTCAACAAAGTAAATGATAGTTCTTTTCACTGAGAAGTAAAATACCAGAGTACAAGTAGATTGAGTGGAGTGGCCAAAGATTTCTTCAGTCACTCAGAGAGAGAGCTGAAGTTCCTCATAAAAGCCCAGGTGGAGTTTCTTTTTTGGAAGTTGTCTGCGGTGACTTGAGGCTTGGTGGTGGCCAGGGACGGGGATATGACGTTAGGAGTCATTACTTCCTAGACAGTCACTAAACTCACAAAGTGGGTGTTCTGTCCTAGAAAGTTTGAGAATGAA